TAAAACGTGTTGTGAACGAAGAAAATGAGTTTTCTGTGGTACTGGCAATGGTTGAGAATCCCCATGTTAGTCAAAGAGAAGTGACCTCATTAGTAGGAATAAGTAGACGGTATGTGGGTCGAATCTTAAAAACAAATAAGTTGCATTCATATCATATTCAAATCCACCAGGAATTATCTGATGACGATTTTCAAAAGCTCCTACAATTTTGTAATTGGGCCAGAGGTAAAATGCAAGTTGATGTCAACTTCTTCAATAATGTTTTATTCACTGATGAGACAACTTTTCATAAAAATGGATTTGTTAATAGGCACAATTTCCATTATTATGCTTCGGAAAATCCTCACTTTTTTATGCAAGTTGATAACTAACACAGATGGTCTATAAACGTTTGGGGAGGAATTATTGGAGAACATGTAATAGGGCCACATTTCTTTGATGGTACATTGACTGGAGCTATTTATCTTCATTTTTTGGAAAACTATCTGCCACAATTATTGGTAAATCTCCTTGGAAGAATTCGAAATAGGATGTGGTTTCAGCAAGATGCTGTGCTCCACCACATTATTTAAATGCAGTTAGAGACCACTTAAATAATACCTACTCTCATTAATGGATTGGAAGAAATGGACCCACTAAATGGCCTGCTAGATCCCCAGATCTTACAAAAATGGATTTCTTTTAATGGGGATACGTGAAGGAAATTGTTTATAGAGACACACCAACAACAGTACAAAATATGAAGGAAAGAATAATAACTGCCTTTAGATATATCACACCGGCAGTTTTAGGAACAGTGAGAACCTCATTTCAAAAGCTCATAGAGATGTGTGTCAATCAAAATGGCCAACATATGGAACATTTATTATAATTTTTTCTACTGAGTTATTTGAAGAAACCTCTTTTTTTTAAGTTTATTTTTGAATGTTGTAATTATTGCTCAATAAAACGAAAATGGTTGCAATTAGCCATAGGGAAGTACTTACAAAAAATGTTTGTTTTTCATTTTTACATCACATCGTTGAAAAATATACAGGGTGTTCCATTTGAAAAAATTGAGAAAATTCAATTTAAAAAGTTCTTAATTGAATACTAATTTTTTGGCCACCCTGTACATTTTTAGGAAATGAAAATGATTCAAAAATATTAATTAGATGTCTCGTAACTGGTATTCACATAAATTTTTCTTAAAACCTATAATTGTGACTGTGGTGATTTTTTTAATATCCATCTGCAGATGGCATTATTTCAACAAAAAAATTCGTTACATCAAAGTGGTTGGGAAATAGCCAATAATAATATAGGAGTGAATAGAGCCTAAAAAGAGGCTTCAAAAAATGTACTAATAAGTATACATAGCATTCCATTTAAAAAAAAGGTACTTGGTCCTGTAATTTCGTCTTGGCTCGCCCTGTATGTTCGAAAATAATTTCCAGTTATAGACTTCTTTATCTAGTTTACTTGCAATTTTTTTAAAAAATTTCTAGCTATCGTAGAACTCGAGATTTCGAGGTCCGACGTACTATTGCCCCACCCTGTATATCATCCTGATGTAAAAAATCATTCTATTTAATTCTTCACTTACCTCAATTAAATTTTAATAGCGTACCTTGAAATGTTTCATTAAAATTTTTAAATAATTAATTATCAGCATCATTCAATACTGTCAATAATAATTCATGTCATATATTTTAATAATTTCTTCTTATTGACATTGACATTTTTGTAACTAAATTAGACATTTCAAATGTTAAACTGTTACATTTATCCTAACCCCATTTTATGAGGTCAAATGTATAAAAAAAATTTAAGTTTACATCAGCTTTATTTAAGTAATTGGAAAATATATTTTATTGGCTTGATATAGTAGACATGATTTATAATCTTTCATCAAGAATATATATATTTTATAAGGCAAATACAAAAAAAGTTTGGGTCCCGTGGACCTCCTTTCAGTTGGCCTATTTTGCTCATCATCGAATTTATCCATTGTCTTTGGCCTTTAGAACATGCGTACCAAATTTGAAAGCTTCATCTGAGAATTTGTGGCTGCTATCGTGATACTACAAACATGCAGACAGATTTTTTCCATAAAGTTATATTTTTTCATTATAATTCGTCGAGATTCGTCCAGAAATGTAAAAAAAAAAAGAATTAATTTTTTCCCGAAATTGTACCTTTTTTCTTCATTCATTGTGTCTCTTCTGGTGGTACCACATTCACCAAATTTAATGTGTCACCTAAAATGTTGTTGACAATCTTAATTGCCAAATTTGGGAAGTCTTTCATTAGTATTTTTTTGAGTTATCGCGGATATACACATACCTACATACACACACACACCGACAAACATCATTCGGAAAATAGTCGGAAAGGATTCAGGAGGGTTCAAAACAGGGTTGCGACGATTTAAATTAATTTGATTTAAATCTTGAGCAGCAGAAAATAGTTGCTTGATAATCGGGAATAATTTGTCAATAATATCAATATTTCTTTGGGATTTCCACCAGTGCAAGGGTTTTGTGTTTTTAAGAATTTCTTCGTGAAACATAATATCGGCAAAAGGCTCAGATTTTGCCAGAAGTTTAATAATCAGTAGTAGTAAACCACTTTCGGGATATAATTCATTAGCGGCTTCTAAAGCACTTTTCTTTTCGCTTTCTGTTAATTTATGCTTTGTTTTCGTAGGGTCTAGAATTAAGGCTAGCAAATGGTATGAGGTGATACACTGACCGTATCGGTATCTAAATGTTTGCATTTGCCTTAAGTTAATTTCAGTTTCGTCAAAATACAACTCAAGAATTTTAAATTGTTCTACGATGTCTGATAAAATTGCATCGTTTCTTTGAAGCCTATCAAGTGCAACAGATATAGGTTTTAGTAATGATAAGTAATCTTAAGCAGTTCTTTTTAAATAAATGTTTGATATCTTCTGTCTTACTATGCTGTCAATTTCATTTTTTGCTAATTTTGTGTAGGCCATGATTTAACGAAACCCTCTAAGCAGTCGGCAAGTGAGTTCCATTTTACGTCAGAAGGTAAAGTAAGTTTTTTTCCTCCTTCTTTTGCATGTGTGGCAGAGGCAAAATGATTGTTTTGGAAGTATTTCACAACGAATGTAACGTGTTCCTTAATTTCACTAATTTCCAAATCCTTACATAAGAAGTTTAAAATGTGTGGAGCACAACCGTAAGTAATAACATTTAGTTCTGTTGACTCTTTAATTTGGTTTCTCATAGCATTCATATTGGTAGTATTATCCATCACAAAACTGCTTACTGTACTGGTATAGTCAGTGTTTAGAGTTTTAATTAAGTTTGTTGCAATTTCTATTAAATATACAGATGCATGTGGATTGTCAGATGTGTCTATCGTGTCTACTAAAAAGGAAGACTCATTTTCCGTAGTTACAGTTGCACATATTATTGGTTCATTGTGTATGTTGGACCATCCATCCAATGACAGACAAACTGAACTTCCTGATAAATCATTAAAACATTTACTTTTTTCCTCGTTATACACTTCATCGAGCAGTCTGTTGGACACATCATGTCGAGATGGTGGTACATATCCAGGTTGTAAAAGTGTTATTGCCTTTTTTACTTCATGTTGTTCAATACACATGAAACTGCTGTTTGTCGCATAAAGAGCTCTAACAATTTGTTTATCTATTTCTTCTTTATGAGACTTGGTCGTATGTACAACAAAAGATGATAGAGATCCAGAACTGGAGTCAGGCACTACTTTTCTTTTTTTACTTAATGGCGTAGAAGATAAGAGCGGCTGTGGGGCACTATCTTCCTCTGCATCTTGTTGTAACGTGTTCAATTGTATCTGTAATAAAAAACAAGATTGTTATGTTGTTTAAATCCAGCTACACACAGACAAGCATAGATACTATACTTTGTTCTTAAAACTAGGAGTGAATGAAAGTCACATTTGCACAGGAAAAAATACTAGAAATCTAGAAAATGCACTAGATCATTTTAACGCTAAATTTGAATGTAACACTGGCGTAGTTTTCCACTAAACACCAAAACACTATACGCTGCACTCGACGTGCGTTACGCCAACCAAGTTGGCATTATCTGGAAATGATAAAAAATAGTTTTATTCATCTCCAGATGATGCCAACTAGGTTGGCGAAATGCGCGTGGGGTGCAGTGTATAGTGTTTTGGTGTTTCGGGAAAATTGCGTCAGTGTTATCTTCGCATCAAAAAGGTTCCAACCCATTCCAGGTCGTAGAAATAGACCGACGTTAAATAAGTAAATTAAAAAAAAAAAAAGGTTCTCTTAATATTTTGTCTTACTAAGAAGTTATAATTATAAATAAAATAACACTATACTTACATTGGACACTGTTCCTGAAGTAGAGCGACCTTCATTATTTGTTTCTACACTTTTTTTACATTACCGAAGCACATTTTTTTTCAGTGGACTTTCAGTCGGTCCACAACCCTTGCATTTCTACATTACACTTTTTACATGTGGCTCTACTACCACTTTTTCCATCAAGCTACTTGATTTTTCAATAAAATACTGCCAAATAGGATCTTTTTTCCTTCCACTTCTATTAGAGGACATGTTAAAAAATTATTTAATATTTAAATAGTATAAATATAATCACTCAGACTCACTTTCTCACTTGTTACGCGTTACGTGGCAGATTAGCAAATAATGGCAATTCGCATCATCCCCGCGCATTATAAAGAGGCGAATTTTCAAGTTCTGACAGGAATTTTCATGTATGCTCTAGTATATTTTACAATTATAGACAGAAGGTACACAATTTATACCATTTGTAAGTTTAAACAAAAACTATCTTTGTTAATATAAGTACTAAATACATTGTTAATGTCAATTATTAGGATGTTTATGTAAAAAAAATAAATAAAAATCAAAAAAATCGTAATTTATTGATTTTTTTTAACAATCGTGATTTTTGATTTTTTTTTAAATCATGATTTTTATCAACCCTGTTTTTGGTTTAGAAAAAATCCGATCTCCTCGGCCGGGGATCGAACCCGGGACTCCAGGGTGAGAGGCAAGTGTCCTTACTATTTCGACTACAAAGCCACGAAATTATATTGCACAATAAATATTTTTTCTTTTCTATTTTATATCATTCAATCTCAATCAAGATTCCATCGAACAGGCTTTATGTACTTATGTGTGTAATTTATTGGGTCTCATTAATTTGCAGAGAAAGATTATAAAGAAAAGCTCATAGCGGCTGTCAAGAAGGAAGTAAAGCAGGTAATGGAAGAATCAGTAACGAGAAAATTTGTCCATGAAGAAAGCGGATCTGTAACTTCTCTCTGTGGGGCCGTAGAAGCCTGTTTATCACAAGGTAATTTACGGAAATTATTAAAATATTTTTGTGAAGTCCCTAGTAATAAAATAAGATATATAAAAATATTGATCTCGACACGTCCGTTGTACATTTATATTAGTTATATTAATTTAATTAAAAATATTTAATTATAGTACCTACTTATCTGTTTACTCTGAGCTACTAGAGTTTCCCCAGCTGTTAATAAAGATAGCAAAAATTGATGACAACGTAGAAAATTCATAGTTATCGATACTATGCCATTAACGGCCCTAACTAATTTTTATGTCATTGTCATCAATTATCAAAAAAAAAAATCATACATTTTCTTTTGATTTAATGCTGGACTTATTTTTTTTAAGGTTTTTTTATTTTGTGTTGAGATTTTCCCGAATTATTTTAACGTTTATTAAAAAAAATAGGTTCCTCTATGCAAATCACTTCAATGTTGTTCATGCCCTAAAACACTTGATATTTTTCAAACATTTTCAAATATGTATTGTCATAGGTCTACGAAGGAGAGCACTTGGACTGTTTAAGACCTCTTCCACAACGGCCCTACTTCATAAAATTGCCAAGCACAGTGCCGAGGCAGCAAATATATCAAAAAAAAGTACAAGAATTAGAAAATGTAGACCCCAACCGTCGGTCTTCCAGTAGTAGTGACAGCCTTACCAAGCCTACATTGAAGAAAAACGCCTCCCTTCCTAATTGCACGCCATTGCCAAAATACCTCTGGATCAGGTCAGATGTGAAATACTTTTAATGTTTCAATAATTGCTGAAACTTGTAACATCTCATTCTAGATTAGCCTTGTTCGAAAAGCAACTGGCAAAAATCATTGACTACCTAGTTTCGAACGCCGGGAAGTACTACGATAAAGATGCTCTTGTCGCAGATCCAGATTATGGCAGCATCTTGAGCTCCCTGCTAGTTGGTCCCTGCGCTCTGGATTATTCCAGAACCAAAAGCCATGATCACTTCTGGACCGATCCACCAGCCGATGAATTAGTAAGTATGCTCCGTCTTCACAAATACGCTTAAACTCGATATCACTTACAACTGCCATTTAGACATTTAATCCTTCTCTATATAGCTTTAAATCTAAATTGAAAGGACTCTATCAGTGATTTATATATGTGTATGTATGTGAGTCCCAACCAAAAGTAGGTACCCTGAATAACTTTGGAGATAAAATTTTTTTTAAAAATTGGTGAAACATGTCGACCTTGTTTCCAAGGGGGACATATTTTAATGTAATACTTGTATACCTATCATCTTCCCTCTACCCTACACGGCCACCCCCCTCAAAAAATTCAAATGGCAAGGAGGGTCGAATGATACATCTTTTGAAAGGTCTTTCAATTCCCTACAAAACTGTGTATTTTTTTTTAACTTTTTATCGATTCGTTCTTAAGGAAAATAATTTTATTTTTGATGATTACCCACAATCGAATTCGTTTAAAAAATCTAAAATACACGGCACTGGGTATTGAAATTTATATAAAAACTACATTTTTTAGTGCTCTCAAATCAACACGAGTTTTTTCGACAAAAAAACACTTTCCTTGTCCGTTTAGTTTTAGAATAATAAAAGACTCATAAGTATTTGATAGTCCTTGAACATTAATTTGTTCACAACCAATTTTAAATCGAGATACATTTTACTAGAGTGAGTTCTCAAAATGGTTTATACCCTTCAGGAGAGAATAGAAATTGTCAGCATTTATTTTAAAAACGATAATTGTGCAAGAGCTACGGAGCGCATATTCAAAAGAAATCACCCAGATAGAAGGGTTGGTTCTCAGTATGTTTTACAATTATTGACAAAATTTATGGAAATAGGTTCTGTAGGAAACAGAAAGCATGAACCTCAGCGACCGATTAGGAGTGAAGCAGTCGATTTGTGGCAGTTCTGGGTCATTTGCAGATGGATAATACTCAATCGATCAGGAAAGTAGCTGAGGCTTCCGGTGTATCACGAAGCAGTGTTCATCGAATTGTAAAGGCCCACAAATTTCATCCATATAAATTTAAATTGGTACACGAATTGAACGAAGATGATCTCGATCGTCGGCTTGAATTCTGTGAGATTTTTAGTGAACAATTAAACGGTAATGCCAATCTACTGTACAATACGTGTTTTTCTGATGAATCGACATTTCAGTTAATTGGGGAGGTAAACAGGCACAATTGTAGGTATTGGAGTGAAACCAATCCAGATTTGTTCATGGAAACTCATACCCAAAGGCCTCAGAAGTTAAATGTTTGAGCTGGCATCTTAGGGGATCACATTGTCGGGCCGTTTTTTATTCCTGACAATTTAAATGGCGAAAGGTACCTCGATCTGTTAGAAAATAACATTGACCCAATGATTACCCAAATTCTCGAAAAAGACGATAATCTTTTAGAGGGCCAACTGTTTTTTCAAAAGGATGGGGCACCCCCACATTTTGCTATAGCAGTCCGTCAATTTTTGGATAATCGGTTTCCTGAGCGATGGATTGGAAGAAGAGGTCCTGTGGAGTGGCCCGCTAGGTCACCCGATTTAACTCCCTTGGATTTCTTTCTGTGGGGACATTTGAAATCAAAGGTATTTGCAACAAAACTCGCATCTCTGGAAGAGTTACGTGAAAGAATTGTCCGAGAATGCCGTTTATTGACTCCAGATTTGTTCAGAAATGTTGGTACAGAATTTCAAGACAGATTATACTACTGTATGGAAGTCGGTGGGGGTCATTTTGTACAATACATACGATAATTTAAACTGCTTCTTTTATTTTTATTTCCCGAACCTAAAATAATGAAACAATATTTCTCAGGAACGAATCGATAAAAGTTTAAAAAAATACACAGTTATGTAGAGAATTGAAAGACCTTTCAAAAGATGTATCACTCGACCCCCTTTGTCATTTGAGTTTTTTGAGGGGGTGGCCGTGTAGTGTAGAGGGATGATGATAAGTATACAAGTATTACATTAGAATATGTTCCCCTCGGAAACAAGGTCGACGTGTTTCACCAATTTTTCAAAAAATTTTTATCCAAAGTTATTCAGGGTGCCTACTTTTGGTTGGGACACCCTGTATGCGGTGTGGAACAACCAAATGGAATAAATTCAATATCTCAATTATTATACATATTTGTAAAAAATCCCGAGACATCAATTTTGGATTCGAAAATGACATCCTGCAACGTAAAAATTTCATCCCTAAATTTAACCTCCTTCGAGTGGCAGTTGCAACCCCTAAATTTTTAAATGGGAAGTAGAGGCTTGTAATACCTCATTTGAAAGGTATATTCATTATCTATTAAAAAATGCTATGGTTTTAATATTTATTGCCAAAATTAACAGTAAAAAAAATAAATTCATCCTGACGAAATTCGCTACAGCAAACTAAAAAAAAAAACTTAATTTCAATATAGGAGATGTTCAAAATGAGTTCCTTAAACGTCTTGGCAGCATCCTTATCTTGAAAAAAAATGTCTTCTAACGTTTTCCACCATCAGAGACGTGACCGACCTTACCGCAACCGTTATTTTTCTTCTCAAGTCAGATATATCGCTTGGCTTAGTTTTGTATACCATACTTTTTACATATCCTCATAGAAAGAAATCTAAGGGTGGAAGATCAGGAGAACGTGCTAGCCATTCTAGCGATCTTTGCCTCCCTATCCACCGATTTGGAAATGTTATGTCGAAATATTGCCAGACATTGATTCGGTAATGTGCTGGTGTTCCATCCCGCTGGAACCATATCACATCGGATTGAACTTGTGGGTTTGCTTGAGCAGGATATATGTTTGCTAAAGTTGGTACGACATTATTTTGGAGCAGAGCTATATAATTATCTCCATTCAAAAAAAGGAACCAATGACATGGTCTCCAGTTATCCCCGCCCATACATTAACCTTTTCAGGATTTTGCCTATGTAATTCTCTCATCCAGTGAGGATTTTCATTAGCCCAGTAGTAACAGTTTTGACAATTAACATAGCCGTGAAGAGTAAAAGTGAACTCATCAGAAAACGAAACATTTTCTAGTAGGATAACATTATTATCTAACCTTTGCATCATTTATTCTGTAAAATACGTTCTTCTATCAAAATCGTCTTCACTAAGCTCCTGAGTTGGGGCAGTTTATAGGGATGCATTTTTATTTTCTTTTAATAGGCGAATAATCGAGGAATGAGAAACATTCACTGCTGAAGCTGCTTGTCGTCGAAATATGTGGGTTTTCTTCAAACTTAAGCAGTATATCTAATTTGGTATCGTTACTCATTGCATCGGAAGTTTTTTTTATCTGCCGTACATGTCCATTTTTCGTGAAACTGCTTTTCAATTTTGCTAATTGTACCTTGGGATATAGGCGGCAAATCAGGAAATTTTTCTTGTAATAGGCGAGCAACTTCAGCCTGTGATCGCATTCTATCTCCGTAACCAACCATCAGTATAATTGTTATTTTATGCATTTCTGTTAAATAAACTAAGTTTAGGAATTGCAGTTAGCAAAACTCAAACAATACACAAAACACTGACAACTATTTATTGCTGTCAATCAAATACCAAGTAGCAATGGCGTTTTCAATAAAACTGGCAATGCAGCTATGAAGAATTTTGACAAGATTTTTATGTCGTCTTTTTTAGTTGATAATATTGAAAAAGAACACAAATTGTTTTTGCTAGCCTGCAAGTTTTTATGTTTTTCGTTTGTTGTAGCTAATTTCGTCAAGCAGACCATTAATTTT